GACTAAATACCTTAAGTCTCATAACATTATACATTTACATATATTTATCATTTTTATTACATTGACCTTTTAGCTGTGCCTGGCTAACAATACCAAAATTACAATAATGCAGCGCACGTGCTCTCATGTTATCGTATCCAATAATATAAAACTGATCTTTAGTCTTTACAAAGTGACCTGTCTTGGCTGCATTTTAGTAGACTAGTATTTTGTAAAATACAGTCACATTTCCATTATTATACATTATTACTATTAACAAATAAGTTCTTAAACTTATTTTCCTTAAAACATAGAACAGTAAATAAATAAGTAAAGCAAACAATTATCCCTTCTAGTTACAACCTTTGTACTCGAATGCTGCTTGTCGTAGCTAGCTAAGCCTTTAAACATTTTGCATGTGGAGGATATGAAATGAAATGATTTTTTGTAGGTTTTATATGCGAGTATATAAATAACCCAAAAATCACAAATTATGATATCGATACCATAAAATTCTACTATAATTTATCAAGCTTAGTAACTAAGCTGTATTTGGGACAAAAAAATGTGAAATTTCAAGCAGACAAAAGACTCAACTTACCAGCTTGAAATTTTGTATCGAAAGAACGAGATGAAGTCGTAATACTTGAAAATGGCTGAGAAAGCCACTAGGGGGACATTCTGAGCTTTCAAATGGTTATTCACATGTCACAGACAGAAGTAAGTGTATATAATGAAGTGTTTCCAAAAATCGAAAGAGGTGAACGGGGCCACCGTGTTTGATTCAGTACATGAGCGATATCTTAGCCAATACAAAAGATAGGAGGTTCTTATTTTATATTCTAACTTTTCAAAATCAGTAATATGAGTTCCTAATTAGTACCAAACTACAGACTTGGTATTTTAACATCACAAACATCTAATTTTAACCAGTGCTGCATTCAATATACCATGTGACACACAAAAACTGATGTTTAACTGTGTTTTTAATATTTACTTTTAAATTAAGAAATTAAATAACGTAGAATAGTAAAATGTGAATTATAATTACAGTTTGATACCAAAGTTAACATAAATTTGTGAAATAGTGGTTCAATAAAATTTTGAATGCGAGTTAACATGTCCGACTACTCGACCAAGATTGATGAAAATCAGTTACACTGTCTCCAAACAGCAGCCCTTTAAAAATCTTGATAGACAGACAGATATAAAAACACATTGCCATGACATAAGGTCAACATTCTATTTCCAAACAATACTAGTAAGTTTGCACATAAATGCTAACGTAGGCTAGTGCCGATAAACAGTAAACTAGGCCTACACTACAGTATAGAACATGGCCATAACCCATAAATCACGTCATCATACAATGCATTATGCAACTCACTACTTGTAATTCAGTAATGCTAACCCTAGCTAGCTAAGTAGTATGCCTAAGCCTTTGGTGGGATTGCATATAAAAGTTTGATCCAAACTATTGACATTTCCCTTCATTTTCTAAATAAGAGGGAATTTAATCTTTTAGGCAGGATTAGAGTAAATTAATCTATGAGACCTTTTTTACCTTTTTTTATTAGCTATATTTTTGTGCACCAGCAATACCAAGTGTGGGGTATGCATATATCCGATTTGATTTTATTACTCATCAGGATCTCTACCAGCCTACCCTCAAATTGAAATTATTTTAGACAGGATTAGAGTATATTAATCTATGAGACCTTTTTTACCTTTTTTTATTAGCTATATTTTTGTGCACCAGCAATACCAAGTGTGGGGTATGCATATATCCGATTTGATTTTATTACTCATCAGGATCTCTACCAGCCTACCCTCAAATTGAAATTATTTTAGACAGGATTAGAGTATATTAATCTATGAGATGACAGAGCTACGAGCTAAAAGTGTGTACTTGAAAATAAAACAAAAAAACTCAGAGACATTCTATGAGCCACTATGCTGCAGCTAAAAATCAGGATGTAATCTACATATTTACCAATGAAAAAAAAAGTTCCAATTCTGGCACTTGTCCACCCCAGAAAAGTTTCACGGCATTCTCACAGTGATAAGATTATTCCAACACTTTTTTTTTTTTATTAAGCTTCTTACATAATGAGAATCTTAAACTTTCTAGAGCATACAGTAGCGAACTCTATGGTTTCTATGAAAAACATAAAATACCACTAATCGTGCAAAATGAAATTCCTTCATTGTACAATCAGTAGAGCTGGGCAATTAACTCAATAAATATTATCAATTATCTATGAGTATTGGTTAAATCAATTAGTGTCAAGTAAAATAATTAATTAATCAAAATTAACATTTCTAATTATTACCATTTTTGAATATTCCAATTATCCAAAATAATCAAAACCTTGCCCTTATTATTTCCATCATAATTGTCAATCAGTGTTAGAGCTCACAAAAATAATTAGCTAATTAAAACTAATGTCCTGATTAGTACGGTTTTTGATTATTTCTACTACCCATATCCAAGTCTTCTGTGAGAATAATCAATTAGTTAAATGATTAATGAGCCTGTTAATTGATTAACAAATTCCACTAATCACCCAGCTATAAACTTATCAGGACCTCAAAGTTACACATCGAAATCCACAACAGTGATTCTATGAAATAGTCAGAATGAAATCAATGTTCATGCTATCCTTTTCTGTAACATATCTTTGAAGTCATCTGGACTTTTGTGCATTTCGTTTGCTTAAACAAAGTCTTGGAAGCTCACATCAACCAGTTAGGTTTCACTTGGAATATAATGTATAGGTCTGGACTCCTTAGCTAACAAAAGATGTTAATTTACTAAAAAAGATTTCAGAGGAAGGTTAATAAAATGATTCCAGGGATGGGAGTGTTAAGATTTTTACAAACTTATCTGGGCATAAACAGGAAAAAGGATATATTCTGAAAACAAGATTACATAAAGTTAAAACTTTAAAAAAAAAAAGTTAAGTCAGTTTTTTTTCCTAATAGGTTGGATAATTTATGGAATGAATTTCTATTAACAGAAACAGAGGGCAGCACTTTACAAGAGTATAAGAGGGCAATAAATGATTTTATAAAAATTAAAGGATGGATTTAAATTTTACTTTTTCTCAGATGTGGGTGTAGAGAGACAGCCTTGAAGGACCAAATAGTCCCTTGTTGTCTCTAACATGTTTTACAGTGAAGCCTGGCATCGTAGTATTGGGCATAACTGCCCAAATGTTCTAAGGACAACAATGACCTAAGAGTGTTGTTTTTTTTAAACTCTCTTTCTAACATAGGCATATACTAATTACCTTTATCATGGGTTTAAATAAACCAGTTAAACTAGGAAAGATACCGTTTTACAGACAGCCATATTGTATGTTTAATCAAAACTAAAAGTTAAACAGAAAAATCCTAAACATTTTCTGGAACGTAACAGTATACAAAATTGTACATACTAATGTCTTGATTAGTTTGTTAAACATTTATTACATCTCAGTGTTATAAATAACATGTTCTTAATCCTTTCCATAAAAATATGATTTGTAAATGACAAAAAATGATAATTGTAATTTACTTAATCCAATTCACATCATAACATTGTTTATGAAAATCGGTGACATAAACAGTACCTCGACCACTGCTACGTCTGTCATATCCCAGCCAGCCTGATAAGCCCCGGTATCGGAAGAAAGGCCTCATCAGCACTGGATATGGCAGATATGGTGTGAATCACATATCACAACATATTCTTTTTTTTTGCTTTCATGCACGTTCTAAGAATTTCCATAAATAAATATAAGCCCAGCTAGTGAAGTCCACATCCATTTGTGAACATGTGGTTTTTAGGATTTATATTTTTCATTTATAAAAAGAAAAATACTTTGACAGACACTAATCACAGTCTGTTCTATGTTAACTTTCCAACTGTAATGTCAAACTGTTCAAGAGTAAAACGTAATAAAAAAAATACTTTGACAAACACTAATCACAGTCTGT